TCTACGGGATGGACGGGGGGAGGGATGGGCACAGATGTATCTAGGGGGATGGACAGGGGAGGGGTGGACACAGATGTATCTAGGGGGATGGATGGCGGGAGGGATGGACACAGATGTATCTAGGGGGATGGACAGGGGAGGGATGGACACAGATGTATCTAGGAGGATGGATGGGTTGTGTATACCCCTTCTGTCACAACCTCGCTGAGCTCTCCATGTCACCTGTGAGTCCTGCCCTCTGACCCATCTCCGCTTTGCTCTGCAGCTTCTCCACCAACCTGGCCTACTTTGGGCTCTCCATGGACCTGTCAGCCTTTGGCCTGGACATCTTCCTGGTGCAGACGTTCTTCGGGGCCATTGACATCCTGGCCAAGATGGCCTGTGCCCTGGCCCTGAGCTACTTTGGACGCCGAGCCATCCAGGCCAGTTCCCTCATCCTGGCCGGCATCTTTCTCCTGGGGAACATCCCTGTGCCCAGAGGTAAGGAGCCCCGAACCCCAGGTTCTCAGCCCACTCAACCTCCAGCAGTGACGGGAGCCAGGTTGGTCCCACTGAGCTGGGAAGTGGGGGAAGCCCTTGTGACATGGCTCTCCCAAGAGTCTCCTGTCCCGTGATCTTCAGGAGAGATGGCTCGGGGGTTAGAGTGGGAGGGTGGGGCTGTGAGTCAGGATTCCTGTGTTCTATCCCCAGTCCTGGAAGGGGAGTGGGGTCTGATGATTGGAATGGGGTGGGCAGCTGGGAGTCAGCTCTCCTGGATTTTATTCATGGCTCTGCCTCGGACAAGCCACTTTACCCATGCCTCAGTTTCCCCACTGTGAAATGCTGTCGTGATTATTTGCATGGCTCATGTGGCAGCTGTGCCGTGGGACTGCAGTGACTGAAACGTGCACTAGGCTTTGTGATCTCCGGGAAGGCCAGTTCCACATCCCCATCTCTCCCCTCTCCAGAGATGCTGATGGTGCGACTGGCTCTGGTAGTGCTGGGAAAAGGATGCCTGGCTGCCTCCTCTGTCTGCTCCTACCTGTATGGGGGAGAGCTCTTCCCAACTGCTGTCAGGTAAAATCAGGACTGGGATTCCCCATCTCTGTGATCGTATAAACAGCCCCTGCGCCTCTCCCCAGGTGCGGCTGCATCTCTGTGCGGGGCATGCTGTTATTGTTACGAGTCTCTCACAGCGCACTGTGTCTGGCAGGCAGACAGGCACTGGCTTCACCACCGTGATGGCTCGTCTGGGCGGCATGGTGGCCCCGGTGGTGCTGGTGGCCGGGCAGCAATTTCCCTTCTTGCCGCTGGTGATATTCGGGGTGGCTCCCATCGTGTCCGGCATCGCCGCCTGCTTCCTGCCAGAGATGCACAACGTCCCCCTGCTGGACACCATAGAAGAGGTGGAGGACAGGTGTGAGTCACGGGCTGCTGCCCTTTCCCCCTGCAAACCTCTTTTCCTTCCCCGTCAATCCCTTCCCACCTGCCCTTTCCATCCTTTTCACTCCCTCCCTCTTTTGTTCCAGAGCCAGGAGGAAAGGCGAGGAGGCGATCGCCGGGGAGACCATGGCTCACATTGTCCACTCAACCAGGATCTGAGCAGCCTTCCCTGCCCCCAAAGCCCCCAGTCCTGGCCCCCCAAATGCACAGGTGGAGGCTGCATCAAAAGGCCCACGTGAAGGGAGGAGCCACCTGCTGCTCCCTTTCCAACTTAGGAATCAGCCCCCTTAAAGAGACAGGGCAAATGGGGGGGGCGGGGGAGTCTGAGTTGTGCCACTGAGCTGCCCCCTAGCGGGGGACCCTACACCACACATGCAGGCAGCCTGTGGGGCATGGACAGAGCAGGGAGACACCTCCCTGAACAACTTTGCCAGGTGTGACTGTACCGGCTCCCCTTGCTGGTGTATATTAGCCTGACGCCCGCCCCTCCCTCCGGCCTGGCAGGGCTGTCAACTGGCTCCTCCCAGTGGTATGTATTGGCCTAAAACTCGCTCCTTCCTTCGGCCTGGTGGGGCTATGAACTGGCTCCCTCTGGTGGTGAATATTGGCCTGACACCCGCCCCTCCCTCCAGCCAGGTGGGGCTTTAAACTGTCTCCCGCGGGTGGTGTGTATTGGCCTGACACCTACCCCTCCTCTGGCCTTGTGGGGCTGTGAACTGGCTCCTTCTGGTGATGTATATTGGCCTGACACCCGCCCGTCCCTCTGGCCTGGCAGGACTGTGAACTGGCTCCCTCTGGTTGTGTGTATTGGCCTGACACCCACCCCTCTAAAGTGACCCTCCCTACTGGGGGAGGGGAGCTCAGCGTCTGTGGCCCGTCCAGCCAGCAATGATGGTTCATGCGATGCAGGTTTCTGTCCTACTGCGAGCTGAGACCCAGCCAACAGATTTCATAGCTGCTGATGAGCCACTACCAAGCTGGGCTTGGATTGGATCCTGCGGCCGAACTGATGCTCTGACCCCTTTTGGGGCAAATTGAGCAGAGTGGGGAGAAGGGCCTGGGGGCTCTGAAGGTGTCGAGGGCTCCCCATTAGGTGCAAGGGACTGGGGGGCAGCTAGGCAGCTCAGCGAGGCTGTACAGGAGGTGTGGCGGCTGGATCCAAACTGTAACATTCACCAATGGGGCTGGAGTTTGGAGTGACCCCTCTATGTGGGGTACCAGCCCCCAGGCAGCAGGGACAGAATGTGTGTGTGGGGGGGTGCCTAGGTGAGATTTCCTGCACTCGTTCCTGTGGCCTTCTGTACATTTTGTAAATGTACTAAGAAATGTACTCAGCCACACTAAGAAATTCGCCTTGCTCCATGTCCCTGATCCCTGCACACCAACCACCCCATGGAGTCAGGGCTGGAGCTCCTCTGGAAACAGGGGTGGGGGCATGTTTCTCCCTCCAGAAAGTGTTGATATTTTCGGCAAAAATCTAAGTATTTTGACTCTGAAATGCCACTGCAGTGCCTCATGGGAGATGTAGTTTGGCAGCCTCCTGCTCCTGTCTTCTCTGTGAGATGGGTGCCCTGGCCAGACTACATCTCCCATGATGCACCATGGTCTCCCCTCTTGTAGATGGGAAGGGAATGCATCTTGGGAATCCCTGACTGGTGCATCATGGGTGATGTAGTTTGGGTGCCTCATGCACCCAATGCACCTTGGCTCCCAGGATAGACTGCATTTTCCCATGATGCACCACAATCTCCCCACATGGGGGTGATGGGGGTCAGAGGCAGGCAGGCTCCTGCAGGGGTGCTGGGAACCATATACATAGCAGTTTCCACACCCTAAAGAAGCTGCATCAAGTGCTGGCTACTAGCAGAAGGGGGAGGGGTGTCTGGTGATATAAGCACCCCCGTGTTACCCCTGTGCTGTGGTAGGAGACGAGATCCCCTAGGGGGATGACTGGAGGGGACAATCTAGCCCTGGATACCAGGTGAGTCTCCTGTTCTGATTATCCCAGGCAGTAATCACCAATCTATGTGGGGTGGCAGGGCTGCCGAGAGGTGGTGGACAGGTGTAGGGCTAGGGAGGGGTAGATTGGGGGCACCCCAGGGAAGGGTGGTTGGAGGGGCAGAGATGGGTGCCCCAATGGCTGGGGTGGGGCAGAGAAGAGGGATGTGCAGTGATAGATCAACAGACCCACAGTTTAGGCTGCAGGGGGAGGTGAGAAGTGCATGTGGGTCTTATCCAGGGTGATTTTAGATGATCTCCCAAGTTTGCTATGGGGCTGGCCCTGGACTGGAAGATCTCCTTGGGCTGGTGCCTGCAGGGGCATTCCTGGCCCCGATCCCTCCTGGGGGTGTAGGAGGTGCCCCTGCCCACAGAGATACCACACTGCCCACCCCCAGGGTTGCCAGCTGGAGAGATGACACGGCCAGCTGAGTGCTGTGGATGCAAAGCAGAGCAGAGCCCTGACAGAAGCGAAGTGGCGATGGCCTACCACACAGGAACAGAGCCCCAGCTGTTCAGCAGCATGTGGGCTGGCTGATAGGGCAACGCCTTGAACAAAAGGGGCCACTGATGTGGGGTGCCCAGAGTGACACCCTGGCACTCCAGTATTCACCACTGTCATGTAATTAGGATATGTCTTGTACAAGTATGCCGTGTGAGGTATCGTTCTAAAAGTCTTGATCCGCTAGACAGTAATATCTCGTTGGATTGTATGTTCTATCGTCATATGTGAAGTTCTGAAGCTTGGCTATGTATGTGTTACTGAAACATATCCTGAGGTTGAGAACACCCACAAGCAGCCTTTCAGGTACAATAGTAAAAAGGCCAAACAATGTTAATGGCTTATTGAGAAAATACACACAAGCACAAGGCTTACCCCAGGAACTGCGTACAATAGAAACCTCTCAGAGATAGCACTACACAATGGGAACTGTTTGACCCAGGTCACAGCAAAGGAGCTTTCCAGCAAGTGGGGAGAAGATATAAAAGGGGGAAAATGACATTATGAGGAGACCTCACTCTCTCTACAACAACACACCTGGAAACACCTGAGGAACAAAGACTGAACTGTGGGAAGTGATGGTCACAGGCTAGAAGGATTTTTAGACTGTGTATGAAAGCCTGGGAAAGCCAAAGCAACTTGTGCCTAAAGAATTTGCCAGCCTATTTATCACTCAGGGTAAGAATTTGCTAATTTATATCCTACCCATCTAGTGTGTTAAGCTCAGTTTGTGTTTTTGTTTATTTACTAAAGTAATCTGCTTTGTTCTGTTTGCTATCCCTTATTATCACTTAAAATTTACCTTTTGTAGTTAATAAACTTATTTCTTGTTTATTTCAAAACCCAGTTTGTGCAATTCATATCGGGGGGAGGGAAGCTGTGCATATCTCCCTCCACATTGAGGGAGGGGGCAAATTTATGAGCTTAGGCTGTACAGATCTCTCTATACAATGAAAGACAATGTGATTTTGGGTTTACACCCCAAAGGAGGTGTGCACGTGAGTGCTGGATAAAGTCCTGAGCTGAATCCTCCCACAGAGCTGATTTCAGTCTGTGTCTGCAGCTGGGTGTGGCCTCACCTGTGTGTGTGCTGGAGAAGACTTGAGGGCCTGGCACAGCAAGGACAGGTTGAGGAAGCCCAGGCTGGTGGAACGGGCGGGCTCAGTGGAACCCCAGCTCATCAGGTGGCATCCTGGACGGGGGGTCCAACCCGTCACAGGGAGAATAATCTGTTTGGATAGTCAGGTCTTCTAGACCGGGACTATCTTTCACTGTGTGTCCATGCAACATGATGGGGGCCCTGATCTCGGTTGTGGTCTGTGATGGACCTGGCACAATGGGGCCCTGATCTGGGTTGGGGTGTGTGGAGGACCTGGCACAATGGGGCCCTGATCTCGGCTCGGGTCTGTGCCACGCCTGGTACAGGACCTCGCTCATTCTCAATCCAGGTCTCTAGGCTCTACCCACCCACAAAGTTCAGTGCCAGGCAGGGGGAAGGCTGCGATGGGGGTCTGCTCCCATTCTGGTAAAATCCTCTCCCACCAAACACAACGCTCCTGTCTGTTGCCCATTGGGTCTCTGTGGCTCATTAATGCTGCATGCTCTCAGAAGCGTCCGTGACATGGGGGAACTGGAGCGGGACTCAGTGGATTCCACAGCTTCTGATCATGTGAGCCATCACCTGGGAATGACTATCAGTCACAGGGGCAAATCAGAACCCAAGCCCTAGAGGGAAATGCCCCAGTATCCCATTTCCCACCGCCCCTACCAAGCCAGCACCCCGCCCTGGGACTGGATTGCTGCGAGCACCCCCTAGAGAGTAAAGGGTCTGTGTCCCATTTGCCATTTCGTGACCCGGCTACTTGCCCCATCCCCCCAGCACCTTAGTAGATGAGTAATGCTTCTGAGAAGTATGTCCTCTGCTGGACCTTGTTCCCTTTCCCACTTCCTCCACATTCTCAGCCTCCCACCTGACTCTGCCCTTGATGCTGGTCAAAGATTTACCAGAGCCAAAGGCTGGGCTAGAGAACATAGATTGACTGCTATACGAGTCAGGGGCGCTGGAGAAGAAGAGCAACCAGGCAGTCAGGAAGAAGTTTCCTCACAGCCTCCATGGCCCCTGGTGTCCAATTGGAGAAGGAGCAACGTATGGGCTTCTTCCAAACCATCCTTGTCGTCCTGGTCTTCCTCCCTCTCCTCATGGTGGCCTCCCATAATTTCCTGCAGAACTTCACAGCTGCTGTCCCCAGGCATTGGTGCTACATTCCGGCGGGAGACAATGACACCACAGAGGTGACTGGAGACCTGCTGAAGATCTACATTCCTATGGATGGCAACCAGGAGCCAGACAGGTGCCTGCGGTTCAGCACCCCACAGTGGCAGCTTCTGGCCCCCAATGGCACCAGCACCAATGCCACTGAGCCCTGCCTGGATGGGTGGGCGTACGACAGGAGTGTCTTCAATTCCACCATCATCACGGAGGTACAGAGGGGAGTGTGAGGGATCATTCTAGGGGAGCGGGGACCTGGCTGGTTATCTATCCATCCACCTATCCATTCACCGACCAATCTATCTATGTCCCCATCCAACCACCTATTCATCCATCCATCCCTCCCCCTCGGTTTTGTGCTCTCACCCATAGTATCTGAGCCTGTCTCATGCATTAGACTGGCATAGCAAGGTGCCTACTGGACTACATGGCATCTCTGGCTCCCCTTCCTCTTGGGGGCATACAGACTGTGCTTGATGTAGGGGGCTGTTGGATCAGTTTGGTGGCAAAGCGTTATCTAACAAGCAGTGGGGCTATCGGGCTGTGGCTTAGCTTCATGTCCTCTGGAAGTTCTCCCCTGGGCCTGAACCACTTGGCTGGCCATGCCTTACCTCTGTGGCAGCTAGCCTGGGCTTTGTGGTCGCCGTGACCCTGCAGGAGCTCCCTGCCTTGGCCGGCCCTAAATGGAGGAGATGTCTTCACTGTAGCTATAATCTGATCCATGAATGCCTTTGTAGACCAGGACCAAGGCTGTGCCATGGCAGGGCCTGGAGCAAAGGGTGGGTGCTCACAGCCTTGTGGTGCAGGGACCCCCTGCTGCCCTAACTCACTAGAGGGAGCCCTTGCATTGACTGCGCAGTCAATGCCAGCCAGGAGGTGACACAGGGCGGGGCTTCTGAGACAGCTGGAGGTGGGAGGAGCTAGCCTGGAGGCTGCCTGGTTGGCCAAGCTCCATGATGACTCAGTGAGATCCTGAGATGCCCCCTCAGAGGTTTCATCACCTAAGCAAGGCCCAGCTAGTTCAGTAGTTGGATTGGAGACCTTGACGGAGTGCCCAGCTTCTCTGGGGAGCCAGGCTGGGGGCTCACTAGGGGCTGCTATTCCTGTGGAGTCTGCACTGATTGTGCTGCTGCAGGGAGAAGGGGGGTGGCTCCCCAGGGGGTGCTCTTAGTGCTGACCCCAGCAGTAGGGGACGCCGTGCCACAAGGAGCCAGCTGGGTGGCTCAGCAGGGGGCACTCTCCCCTCTGAATTGGTGCTGGCCTCAGCGTGGCACCAAGAGGCTCTGTGCTTCAGGGAGCCGGGTGGGGGGACCTAGTAGGGGGCACTGCCTCCTCGCAGGCCGTGCTGACTCCAGTACCCCAGCACAGTGCTAGGGGGTGCTGTGCTGCAGGGAATGGGGGGGGGCGGGGCTCAGCAGGGGCTGGTGTGCCAAGGAGCAGCACCCGGGCTCAGTTCTGCTCTACAGGGTGGGCACTGGCCAGTCACCACTAAAAGGGGGTCATGAGGAGGGAAAAAACTTGTTCACCTTAGCCTCTAAGGATAGAACAAGAAGCAATTGGCTTAAACTGCAGCAAGGGAGGTCTAGGTTGGACATTAGGAAAAAGTTCCTAACTGTCAGGGTGGTTAAACACTGGAATAAATTGCCTAGGGAGGTTGTGGAATCTCCATCTCTGGAGATATTTAAGAGTAGGCTAGATAAATGTCTATCAGGGATGGTCTAGACAGTATTTCGTCCTGCCATGCGGGCAGGGGACTGGACTCGATGATCTCTCGAGGTCCCTTCCAGTCCTAGAATCTATGAATCTATTAATCTAACCGCACAAGGAGCGGGAAGCTTAATATCCCTCCCCAAAAGATGGCACCTCTGCCTTGGCATCACCCCTCCTGGCGCTACCCAAGGGCCTGTGCCTCTGTGCCCCTCCTGCCAGCCCACAGGGGCCCGCTGTGGCAGAAATTCAGCCTGAGTCACCCCTCTGAGAGCCGGGATAATGGATGACAGTCCTGGTGTTTTCCTTGGCGCTGATCCTGTGCCAATCCCTTCTCCTGTTCTTAGCGCACCCGTGACATGTCATGCTGCCAGCTGCCCCATGCCCAGCTGGGTTACACAGTAACCCGCTTGGAACAACACATGAGCCCCTGGTCCCGGCCCCACCCATCATTCCAGACCCCAGATTTGGCAGGGGAGGAGGGACACTGTCCTGTCCCCCCAGCCCTTGTGCGGGGCTGTGGAATCTCAACTCCAATCCTGGCTGCGTGGACAGCGCCAGGCCAAGGCAGGGATAAGGGTTTTGTTGGCAGCAATGAGTGGTACACGGGAGTGTGGTGGAATCAGCAGGGCATAAAAGGGACAGAGGGCATTTAAAGGGCATGGGTGCTGGCAGGCTTGGGCACAAGGTGTGAGGGTCACAGGGCTCAGGTGGGCATGGGAGCTACAGGTGGGCATGCAAGGGAGGTTTTGGGTGGTACAGATGGGCATGGACAGCATGGGCAGCTGGGATGGCACAGGTGGGGTGGACAGCAGGGACAGCAGGGGTGGCACAGGTGGACGTGGACAGCAGGAACAGCAGGGGTGGCACTGGTGGGGATGGGCATCAGGGGCAGCTGGGCTGGCACTGGTGGGGATGGACAGAAGGAACAGCTGGGATGGCCAAGCAGGGCTCTGACCAAGTGGGTCCAGGTGGGTGCAGGTGAGCTCAGATGGCCCAGTGGCAAATGGGGAAGGGGCACAAAGGGGCACTCAGAAGCCATCAGTGGCTTTGGATGGCACAGGAAGGTGCTGGGGTTTGGAGACCAGAGTTGGGCTCAGATGAGGCTTAGGTGGAATGGGGGGAGCTCAGAGGACGGAGGTGGGCTCAGGTGGGCATGGATGGCACAGTTGGGGATTCCTGTCATAGACAGGCATGGGCAGCACAAGTGTGTGTGGGTGGCACAGCTGGGCACAGACTGATGTGGGAGGCTCAGCTGGACATATGCCTGGCACAGCAGGGCCCTGGCCTCTAGGTGCTGCCAGGGTACAGCTACTAGCCAGGGCTCAGGTAGCTCAGGTGGGCAGAGGAGACATAGGTGTGGTTCCTGGCCCTTTGTGCCAGCTGTGTCCCTGAAGCCCATCTGACTATGCAGTCAGCCCTTTGCCCAGCAGCGCAGAGTGCCATGGGGCACCCCTGGATTCACACCCCTCTCCACACTCCTCCCCAGTGGCACCTGGTCTGTGGCCAGCGCGCTCTCAAGGATTTTGCCCAGTCCATCTACATGGCGGGGGTGCTGGTGGGAGCACTGGTCTACGGGGGCCTGGCGGATAGGTGAGTAAAACTGTATCCCCCCTCCTTGCCTCCTTGGATCACCCCATGGTCCCATCCAGCCTGGTATTCCGCTCCATCAGCCCCATGGACCCATCCAGCCTGTTATCTCCCTCCCACATCAGCCCCATGGACCCATCCAGCCTGTTATCTTCCTCCCACATCAGCCCCATGGGCCAATCCAGCTGGGACCCCCTCACACATCAGCC